TTCATATCATTTTGGACAAAAGTTTCTGCCAAAAAAATGTAAACGCATTACTGATATGATTAAAAGTACATTTAAATGTGGAAAGACAGATCTCTCTGTCTTGCTGGGCTCTCATACTTATCAGTCACCCTACAGCTTAAGGCACTCCACTATATATTAGTCCAGTTGGTTCCCTGGAAGTTTTGGGCATCTGAAGTTCACCCTCATATACTTCACAGATATTTTAAATGATATTTTTAGGCTGATTTTTTGAATGCATTGAGTGTGAGTGCATGAAGTGCAGGATCACTCTCGGTGTTCTGCCTGAACCCCTGGCAGGTTTTTTGAAAGTGCCTCTGCCCTTGGGCACTGTCTCACAATGTCGGCTTTCTGTGAGTGTCATGGCAAGAGCAGCCTCAGCTGCCCCAGTACCTGGATGGTACTGGTTGCTGGGCAGGCATTCTGTGGCATATGGCTGAGTGATTCCTAGGAACAGACAGAGAACAGGCAGGCTGGCTCACTCTGAGTCTTGGGCAGGGAACAGAGCATTATGGGTAGATATGTGTGAGAGCAGTTAGTTGCTCGCAAGCACACTGCTGCAGACCCTGGTTGCAAAGGCTGAAATAGTCACAGGTCGTCAGCTGCACCTGACGCAGAATCATGAGCGTAGTGTGGACTGTAGGCCAGCTAAATGACCATGCAATTGCAGGATTCCTTGGCACAATTTCTCGATTGCTAAATCCAGGTCACTAAATCCAGCTCCCCCCCCCCCCCCAGACTTGGAGTGGAGCCGCTGGGGGCCGAGACGCAGATGCTTTTTGCTCTCCGGCGAACGCGCCAGCAGCCACGGGGGAGGGGGGCTCCCAGAGTGGCTCCTTCGGGCCTCCTGGGGGCTACTCGGCCTCCCCCTCGGCTCGAGTCCAGACGGAGAGAATGGAGCACAGTCTTTGCTGCCACTGCACTGTGGAAGGAGCCTCTATTTCCCTCTATTCCCTGTATTTCAGTGTGGGTGGGGGGTGCGGGGGAGGGGGGGGAGTCTTAAAGGCTCCCTTTCAGTCCCTTTAAAACTCACTTACTTTGATGGACAGAGACCGCAACCATTCTCCCACTATAAATAAACATAATAGAACTGCTACTACAACTCACGTTAATAGCATTATACGTCAGCATAATTAATTGCTCACCAGGTAATAACATACATATATTTCTCTCATACTTCCTGTCTCCTGTAAATATGAGGGAAGGTCTGCAACAAGGTCTTGTCATACAGGCTCTTCTGAATGCGAGCTCAGTCTTGGTTGGCAGATGTGTGGGTAGGAAAGTGAACTGAAAGAAAACCGGATCGTATACAGAAAACGGGGTTTTAAATTACAGGTTACGAGCGGTACTGACTGACGGGGGCCTTTGAAATGTGGACCATTCAAGCTCACACACACTGAAGTGCATTAGCATTAGAGCGACAGCTTTAAGATCCCTCAGCAAATACTTAGAAAATGACGATGAATCTATCCTAACTTTTATTAACCAAAGGAATTGAGAAAGGATGAACCATGGGTGTGTGCTGCCACTGTTTCTGCTTTTAAAAATGACCCTGTTTCAATTAACAGGTGATCTCCAAAACTGTGTGTTGATTTTGTGCCAGTGTTGGTTTTATTCCTGCAGATTTCTTTTTAATGCAGCTATGGAGGGAGTTGCTTTATGCACATTATGAGCACAGAGCAGTCTTTGTTCTCTGAAGGATGTATAGCTCTCTGTAAATATGCACAGTGGGCCACTCTTTTCAAGCATGACTTACACAGTGTGCAAATTATCATTCCTCTGATCTGGGATCTGCTACATAAAGGTATTTCTGATTCTGGTGATACGTATACTGTCTTTTATTGTTACATTTACTTCAAAGCCACCAGATAAAAGTTTATTTCTTCTGTAGTTTGACAAAGAGATACTATGATATGAATTTTTATGTGCCAGCTCAGTCAGATTGCTACTGTAATGTTGGATCGCATCTTTCTTGCCATGGATGACATCAAATTCGAGCCAAGGCATTTCTTCATTTTTAAGGACAGTATATGTTAAATGTTAATCATGTTGTTTTGTGCAATGGACAGTGACAGCTGTAAAAACAAAGGGAATAATATGTCAGCCATGCTGTGCTGTGCTGTGTGATAATCTTACTGACTCTGGTCATGAAGAAGCCATTTGCCTCCACGCTCTGGGCCTGTTTAAGCCACACTGGGCTGGGCTGGTCAGTTTTTTTCCTGAACTGCTTGGATCATATATCAAGTTCTGCATATTCTGCTTAGTTTCTGGTCCTTAAAACCTCTGTGAGAATTTGCCTCTGGATGTGTATTCTAATGAATAATGATTTCTGCTGTATGCCGGGTTTACATGAATACGTGTCATGCCTCTGGTGTGCAGGCAGCAGAAAGTAACCAAAGCCACCGCTTACAGTAAATGTTGCCTGTAGTCCTTGTTTTCATTGTTGATTCTTGGTGATAAATTTTTTTATTATGCTTCAGCTTTATTGTCGGTGTCTACAACCCATTAGCCAACATTGCGCAGCTGCATCACTCTGTTAACATGAGTGTCGTGATTCTAGACATGACAGCCTTATTTTGGTGGCCATTTTGTAGCAGTTCTCTGCTGCGACTTCACTGATCTTTTTAATCTTTTATAAATTTCACATTTATTAGCTTGTTTTGTTTTCAAAGAACCTCATGAGGCCTTCAGCTCACGAACGACGTGACCAAAGCAGGTGAAAGGAGCCCCAGTGCGAATTCGGATGTTGACACAAGTGGTCAAATGGGTTTCACAGATGGCGGCTACGCATATAAACCCTCATCGCACTTTGCAAATTGAATCAAGGGCGAGTTATGCCCAGTTACATCCCCAGTCTGGAGATAGCCCTCTGTTATCATTACTGACTGAGTCCCCTTAACCTGATGACTGTATCTTGAATATTTCATTGAGGTCATTTTGCATGCATGTGATGGTACAGTGCGGAGGGCCCCCATGTTGGAGAATTTGCAGATTCTCTCTAACCACATATCTGTGCTACCCAATAACATTATTCGTTTTTCCTTTGAAGTTATAATATTTAAGCTGTCTGGGCCTGCCCATATCTCTGCTGCTGTCGTGTAACACAAAGCTCTCCAACGATATTTACGTAGGTACAGTATCACAGTCGCCGTCTCCTAGTTGTGTGGGTCAGACTCTTGCCTTTGCTGTATGTCTGAGGAACTTCACGCTTTCTGAAGTCCACAAATATGCCCTTAGGCCGATCTCTCCCCTGTGTATAATACTGTATGCTAGTCACAGACATCCTGCCCTGTGTTTCCTGGGGGTGTCTGCCAAAGACCCTGTGTTAGATAAGGGGCTGATTCTCTCCCATGCAGCTCTGTTAAATGTACAAGTAAATAAGACAATTTCCATTGTTGTATGGCTGCAACAAGGCTGGTGAAGCCGCATCATTTCCCATTTCATTCTCCCTTCATTTTTTGGGGCTTTTTATATGCCACAAATTGATCATCAGCCACGTGCTTCCAACATTCAGAGCGTGATTTTGAAGGCCCTTGTAATGTGCAAAATGACATATGAGGGGTCATGAAATTTGCCTTTCTCTGGGTCGTGTTTGAGGATGGATTTTTTTGGATTGGGTTTTCCTGCAGGAATATTTATGCTCTAGCCATGATAACCCGTGAAGTGTTATTCAACCTGCTGTTGGCATTTTATAACCAAACATTCAGCTTTAGTGGATATTTGGAGTATATTTTAAAAAATGAAGCTGACTGAACTCATATCTGTCTTATCCATCTTGGTTTATTTATTTATTTATTGTTCTTTTTCACAGTTCTTCCATCTGTCAAGCTCTGAGCAACCTATCTGCTGGGGATCTCTAATGCAATATCCTTCTAAGCTAGAAACACAAATATCCTTTCAAAAATGTGAGGCATTTGTAAAACAAAATGTCCTCTAATCCATCTGCAAGCCTGTCAGGACCAGATGCATTCATCTGGACCCTCATCTCTTCCAGGATAATGGCCCCTTTCGCTGTCTCTCTCTTATTGGTATCACTAGCAGTCGAAGGTTCCTCAGCACCTCGCCACCTGTGTCTATGTCGCCTCCTCCAAACAGTTTTGTTTTTCTAGAGGTGCTCCATGATTCATCCAAGGCCGTGGTCAAATTCAGGCTTGATGACGTTAATTGGTATGAATTAATTATAAATCTATGTCTATGAATCGTAGGAATAAAAAAATTACAATCTGCATAATACAGGACATTATCATGGAGTTTAAAAAGCTGTGAATGGATAAAATATATAAAATAAAGTATGTAGTTATCAAGCCCAACAGTGAATTTTTGAGAACTATTGATATAGGATTGAAGATTTAGCAAACATGGCTGGCAGAAATTGTGCTCTTTACTCCACAATAAAGAATATAACTGCACAGCCATTTTTTTTTTACTTTTTGTTTAGGCTAGTATTCTAAAAACTTTCAGAATCGTATTTCATAAACTTCCCTTTTGCCTAAACCCTATTCCCTGCGTGAGGCGGCTCCCACCTGCGGGGGCGGGGCTCTGGGTTTCAGCCCTTGCTCTGTATGAGTTTGCAGACTCTCCCTGTGTTACTCCAATTTCCCCCTGCAGTCTAGACACATGCAGTTAGTCAAACTGGTGCCTCTGTATTGTGATTGTGTATGCCCATAGTGTGAGATTGTCTGTGCATGCGTGTGCCACTCCTCAGATGGGCTGGCATCTTGTCCCCTGCGTTCTCCTTTACTGTATAAGCGGCTGGATGATGAATGGATTATTCTAAATGATTAATGGAGCAGGCCAACAGTAAACAACAATAGTAACAGTAAACCAGACCAATAGCCAAATAATCTTTATGATTGTCTTCCTGTGTTTACAGTCTCATTCTCATGGCGAATCATAATTTTCATATTTTTTGCCTTCGGAACTGTATGGAAAATAGAGCATGAGGCTTGTCCATTTGTGTCTGATGTACCGTCATCCCTCAGATGCGGAGAAGCAGGCAGGAGGGACAGACACCAGCCGCCAGAAGAGCTCGCACTCGGCTGCCGGTCACCACAAGAGCGACGATGCGAGTGACAGCCGTGAAGTTGAGCCCGCGGTGAGTATCACACAGAAACCCCACAGCCTCAGACCACGGCGTTGCAGCAAGAACATTCTCTCCCCAACATTTTGTTGCTGTGCTGGGATTTGGATTGCAGAAAACTCCAAACAGAAGTGAATAAATGGTGGTTTTGTTGTCATAAGCATGTGATTGTTTAATCTTCTCACTGGTATAACTTGTACTAAATTCATTCTGAAGTGTATTTTATAATCTGCTAAATGAAAACAGCTGATCAATCATAAGGAAGTTAAACAGAAGAGCCAAGTAGCAATCACTTTATTAGTATGTATTTATTTACTGGATAATTGACAAGAAGATGGATGGATGGATAAATGGATGGATGGATGGTGATACTTGTCAGTTGGCTCCCAACTGCCAAAGGGTATATTGTCCACTAAAGTAATTTATGCATTTGCAATTTTTGTTTCATGTTAATCTGAAGATTTCCCTTTTTTCTGAATTGTTTTGCCAGAGTCCTGACCAAATCTTTTCTGTTTAATACTGAAGTGATGCACTTTATAAGGGAAGTCATGTGACCAAAGTGGATCAGGAGAAATGAACAGTTCATTAAAGGAATGAGAAACACCCATTTAATTTTAAAATGGAGTAATCAATTAGTTGTATAATACCATAAGTCCCCAAGTTATGGGGGGCAGGTTCAGGTGGCTGTGTCCCAAACTTCACTGTGTTTAACTAGCAGCGCTTTGGCAAATTAAATACCACCTCGCAGGATTTAAAAACATGAATCACGGTCGGTTTTATTCCCTTTATTTATAGCTGAAAGATAAAGGGCTTTAAGGTTCCGCATGAACCACAGAGGATGTGCAGGACCGGGGTTAGCACCAGTCGGGCAGGGGTCCATGCAGCACGTGACACGAATAATAATCACGTATCAGCGCCCGTGGCCCCCAGCTGAGAGCGATGGGTCCCACTGACTTCCTCTGCCTTCGCGAAGCGCAGAACAGCCGCAGAGGGTTTGGCCTCTGTACCTGTGATTGGAAGGTCGCTGATTTGGATTCCGTACTTGGCAGCATAATCACATGACCGTTGGGCCTATGCATGCACAAGGCCCCTAGCCTCCAGAAAAATGCTCTGAGGGGGCCAGATAAATAGCTGACCCTGTGCTCGGACCCCAAGCTGCACTCTCACCTGCATATGTATATGTGTGTGTTTCAACAAAGGAGAACAAGGTGAGGTATGTTTACTTGTATAAATGGTAAATAAAGCCTAATTTTACTTCTCTGACCTTGTGCATTATGCTGAGGAGCCCTGCTTCCCTGCCGTCCCCGTTTGTTTGTCTAAAGCACTTTCACCTTCGGTGGGGGGCTCGAGGACATCGCTTAATTAAAGGACTTTGGGACAGGTTTCCACCCAACCCACTCCCACCGCTAATCCATGTCCATGTTCAAACGCTCACCCACTGGGCGCAACTGGCACTGAGAGGCAAGTTGAGTCAGTGGGCTGGCAGGTGAAGGCTGGCTCTTGCATCGTGGTGGCATCTCTGTGAGCTTCAGAGTTTGCGCTGTCTCCCGTTGCTGAACAGATCTGCGATGGACGCTTGCCATTTCAGAGGAACCATCTTAAAGTCCTTTCATTCACCTTTTCTCCACTCCCTCGTGCATCCCTTTCATTTTCAGGGCTGTTTTTATATTGCCATGTTACTGGAATTTGTTTTTCGCAACCAAACCATAAAGGAAATGCCTTGTTGTCCAGAAATATTGCCGTGCATCCTGATCAGATGATTCAGATGATTTTTGACAAATTTAAGGTAATCCATGCAGGGAGCAGAAATATAAAGTACAGGTATTTTATGGGACCTACTGAAATAAAGGTAGCTGATTATGAGAAAGTCCTTGGTGTGTATGTTCATGCTTCCATGTCCCACTCTCGCCAGTGTGGGGAAGCAATAAAAAAGGCCAATGGGATGTTGGGTTACATCTCTAGGTGTGTGGAGTTTAAGTCAAGGGAGGTGATGCCACGATTATACAATTCCTTGGTAAGACCCCACCTTTTGTATTTTGTGCAGGTTTGGTCACCCTACCTTGAAAAGGACATTGCTGTCTTAGAAAGTGTTCAACATAGGGCTACAAGAATGATTTCTGGTCTTAGAAGAATGCTTATGAGGATAGATTAGCTTAGCTGAATCTGTTCAGCCTCAAGCAAAGGAGGTTAAGGGGGGAGATGATCCAGTTATATAAGATTCTAACAGGTCTGGATGCTGTTCATCCAAATAGTTACTTCAATATTAGTTTAAATACAGTGGTACCTCAGTTCTCAAACTCATTAGAACTCGAATTTCTTAAAAGTCGAACCAACCAGTTCGAAAAAAAATTACCTAGAGCTCGATCTAAATCTCAGAAGTCAAACTGTGAACGTCGACCTAAGATACGCACGGGGAAATGAGTCTCGCGGCACGTCTCTTAGCGGAAACAAAGGGTAACGCTTCAGTCTCAGCCTCGCATTAGCTGTGATAGCATCCTGCATGTTTACACTAGCTGAATACTGTACATATTTTTAGTCAGTAAAAAAATACATTAGACAATGATTGACAGTAACAGTAATTATTATTATATAATAAAATGCATTTAAAAATAAAGATTTCTTATTCATTATTTTAATATTAATAATAAACCATTAATACATTTAATTATAATAATATTGTCGTGCCGAGCGGGGACAGAACGGAGACAAAGGCGCAGACGTCAGGGTGTCGGGGAATACGGGGTTTAATTACAGGTAAGGCAGGCAAAACGCAGACGGACAATACAATGACCGGACTGGGGAAACAAACTGAAACGCGGACGAAATACAGAGGACTAATGACAACAACCAAAAACAGCTGATCACACGGGGATTCCACACAGGGTTAACGAGGGGGCGTGGCACACGGAATGAGCGGACGATCGGTGCAGGACACATTGTTTGGATACATTTATTTTCTTTACAAATTACTGTTTTGATATATGTGCTTGGATGTGTTTAGTACAGTATATGTTCTTCTTGTGTTATCGGTTCATTTTGTGTTTAAATGCTAAAAAAAAGGTGTAATTTTTTGGGGCCGGGAACCAATTAATTGGTTTTCCATTATTTCCTATGGGGAAAATTCGATCACAACTCGCACTTTTTAGGATTCGACTAAATTAGGAACAATAGTGGTCCTAAAATTGAACCCTGCGGTACACCACTGTGAAGGCAGGTTCACTGTGACATTGTAACTAATAACTACCCGCTGCTTCCTGTCTGTTAACCAGTTTTCGATCCAAGTAACACTCCGTTGGCAGTTTTTCCGTATACTGACCATTATAATGCATTATGAAGGTATCTATGGTGCATTATAGATGAGAGCTTCACAGAGCATTCATAATGCATGATAAACATGGCTATAATGTGTTATGCCTTTTTATTAATAGTTATAGCCATGTTTATAGTACTTTATGAATGCATTATTATGCATTATGAAGGTATCTATATGCATTATGGTGATTGCTTGAAGTAAAGCGATAACAATCAGGTTTCAATTATTCAGCCCTACAGATAAAGGCAACTCATATCCTAATATAAGGGACAGTACTTACTGATAATACACAGCAAAGATGGTCTGAATAAAACCACACAACAGTGACTGTTCAGCTGGAATGAGAGCTTTGTTTTTTAATGGCAGCGTTGAACCTGAGATCACGATTTAAATCGTCAGACAAAGGATTGTGAAGAGCCTTCAGCTGCTATTGAGCCATTTGCATATTTTGCTGCAGTGCACGTTTTAGCTCCTGCCTTTTGTCACAGTTGAATCCCCACTGAGCTTCCTCACATCTGATTCATTTTACAAGCGTTTCACACAACTGAATGAAAGAGGGAATGTTGAACCCTTCATTCACCGCAAACTGAAATCATTTTGTTGTCATATGATGTAGCAGAATTGAACCATAGATATGTCCAGTCATACTGGTCCACTCACCTTTCAAGCCTCCTATTCAGTCTCTTTAAAAAAGTGTGTTGGCATCATCGATATCAGTAAAACAACACGAGCAGAATTAATGTGTTTATGGAAAACAGAATTTTAGCTTCTGATTTGGATATGCACACAATTTCAGCCTCAGATTTGGCCTGTGTTTGACAGAGGAATCACACAGGCAGCAATATAACTCTTGACAACCCACCCAGTGCAATAGGATTGCTTTTTAGATTGTACACTGAAAATAACAGCTTGCCAATAGCAAGGTGATGGCAGCCTGCCAGGCACATTGTTAAGGAGACAGTGATGGATTCCTGTCTGTCATCTCCATTACATATGTGTTGAGTCTCCGGCTATAAACAAAAGACGGTCTTGGTTCAGCACACTTTTCACTGCCAGTGACGTAACAGCCAAGGTTTTGGTCAAGGACTCAAGGTCAGTGGAATTCAGCGAAGCCTGGGCCAGCCTGGTAGTCCTTGGGGATTCAAAGGTAAAGTCCAATTAGTGTCTGTTACTATCTCAGCAGAAGTGTTGTGTGAGTGGAATGACCATCCATTTTACTCCAAAAAAAACTGGTGGAAATATATTAGCAGAAATCACTGAGCCAGGAGCAGTAACTGTGTGTCTGATAAAGTGGAAACTATCGAAGGCTTCGGATGGCTGTGACACCTTCTGCCCTCTCTCTAATCTCCCTTATTAAACTCCTTGCTGATTTTGGCTTTCTGCAGCTTCCAGAAAGATTCTGTGGTTTCTGTCTGTGCAATAGCCTGCTTCTCTTTTCAGACATTTGGCTGTAAAAAAATCAGGTTCTATAGAAATTCCCTATTTAACGCTCACGGTTGGCCAGTAGACCCTGGATGTCAAATCGCAAATTAATTTATTTTCCATTGATTGCAGGATGTTTAAATTGGGCATCACATCATTTTCCTCAGCAGCAGAGCAAATGTGACTTTTGCATGGAATTCATTATTGAATTATTTTAATCTAATAAGTAATTTCTTTTGGAAATGCCTCTTAATGTTCACACGTATAAGTATCATTATGT